ATACTGCATAGGAAGTCATTTAGGTATCTCTATATACTTACAAAAATAAACCAACTCTTACCCAGAGATACTAAAGCAATTATTCTACAAACTTAGCAAAAATATGTCTGAAAGTATTACTGTCACTAAGTTCCAATTATACCTAACTTCTAATACAAGGCTGGGTATTTATTTGTTACAACTATTTTTGTGCCAGTTCTTCCTAGGAAGACATTATGCTCCTTTGCCAAACAAGTTCCTATTAACGTATTTTCATTTAAAATTTTAATCCATAAAGCCTTGACATAATACCAGAAACCCTTCAACAATAATTAATTGAATTCAGCAGTAAACAGATCATTGCTCTGATTTTTTTTTATTATCCTGTCTCCCTAGCACTGTAGTTTCCCAAAGATTCTGTCAGTAAGTGGTGAAAAATGGAAATAATTGAAGAAGCTTTCAATATATTATTATTATGAAGGAAGGACTTGTAATACCAAAGCAACTTAGCATGATGCTGGCATTAGACTGTTGGAATATAACTTTCTGACATATAAGAAGCTCTCCAGAAACTTAAACATTCATAAGTTTATATCTAAACTACCTTGTTGCCTACCTTGCACAAATCAATTACATTATAACTGGGTCTATAACTTGTCATTCTTTCAGTCATGTTTTGTTGAGCAAGCTGTAGTAGTCTGATTCTCTCACTGCAGTAAGCCTTAAATCAACATGATAAAGCCTATGATTGGGTTCACACAGTGTAAATAAAACCAAATAAATCATATTATAAATTAGCAGGATGTGTTAATCCAAGATTCCCTGATGATTCCTTAATGCTTAAAATAATATTAATGAAATGACAAACACCTTCAATTTCACAGGAAATCATTCTGTCAAACCTAACATTTCAACAATGCCAATTCTGAATTATCTAAGTGTATTACATGAATAAGTATATTTTTGATACTTTGGTTTATTACCCACGCTTAGAAATTCCAAGGCCCGATTCGTATATCACAGTATGTCATTATTTGCTTAGGAACAGTTTGATACACCCAAATTGGTGGGATGCACATGATCTTAATACCACCAGATCATAAAGTAGGCTACAATAGTACATAATACCTCTTCATTTACAGTGCCAGTGAAGGTATTTTTCCATACAGCTTGCCTGTCCAAACCCAGTGAAGTAATCTATGCTAATTGTGGACTGTGACATTAAAAATTGGGGGGGGTCAAAGACCATTAGCCTGAAAATTTTATCTTGTGGCTTGATGTGAAAATTGCATGATCTAGAGACAATGAAATTCTCAGAATAATTCAGGAATGTAAACATACTGAAGAGAAATGCCAAAGCTTTTCCATGTCTCAGGAATAATCAACATGGAAAATAATTGAATGATTTCAGAACATATTACAGAACAAGTTTGGAAAACTATGGGACATTGTTTATTACTTGCTCATCTTTTTTGTCTAAGCCAGCATACATTACAGTATGGCAAAGATCAACATGTGACATTCAGGAATATGAACTATAGTAACACACAACATTAAACAATTCTAGAAACTTTACTATTCAATAGCTCCTCAACTTCAAGTGCTATATGTAAGCCATAGCAATACTTAAAAATGCTGTACATATAATGAGCATGTATCTTTCCTTATCCTGGAAATCTATCTGTATTACTGTTAAACATGCTTTAAAAACATTATATAGACAGATCATAGAAGAAGAGATTTTAGAAAGTAATAAAATGCTATTGCTTTAGTTTCTAATGCTGTCTAAAATATAGATGTGCATTTTATTCCTAGGAAATCAAACGTTATTGCAATTTACTTTGTTCTGGAAGATCTATTATTTCATTATTTTTACTGCAAAGGGAAAGTGCTTGAAGTCTATGCTCTGCTTCACTTCTACCATTTGAACTCTATGTAAATGCTTCAGAATGATTAAGTTATTATAATTTAGTTTCACTGTGCTCTTTAGTTCAACAGAAGGAGTATTCAGAATGTGATAAGACCAGGACTGAGAGTTGAGTAATCTTAGATGCAAGTGGCCATTACACAGCAGGAAACACCAGCTACTTGGTGGTCATGGTTTGCCTTTGATCCTACCTAGTGGCCATCTGGATTTTTGCAGCTCAGGTCCGACAATCTTACTTCCATTATTGTTTGAGTTCTGAGGACACACTAAAACACAAACTAGACAGGCATGTCTTTAGTTCTTGAATCAAAGAAAAGCAAGTTTCCATAATTTGCACTGACCTGATGGCCAGGCTCTAAACTGCCTTGCCTTGTCTTTTTTTAGGTTTACAGTGGGAAATTTAATGGCAGTAATTCATGGATTCTCCTGACTTAAACTCCCCTCTTCTCCAGCATCATCAGCCAACAGGAAACATGACTCGTTGCCATAATTTGGGATGGATGGGCTTGGATGGACAGGTGCCAGGAACAGTGACCCAATTTGATCTGCCAAACCTATACCAAAGCATCACCAGCCTGTGTTCTGACTTTAGCTTTAGTAATAAAAGTTGACTTCCATCATGTAGAACCTTAATTCTAAATGACCTCAAGTAACATTGCATGGGTAACTATTAACCTTCCATCTGATGAAGGGAAAAGGCAATGCTTTATTGGCCGGTCTGACAGAATGAGAAATGAAAAATATCACTGGATTTTAAAACTCTTTCTCAGATCTATGTTGTTAAACTGACAGAATACCACCAGCATTGTAAGCAAACTCAAATCAGTTTGAGTTTGTAAGCAAACTCAAATCAGTGGAGGACTCTGCGATGCTCAAGTTTACACCTAAACCTGACACCAGCTACCATGTTGTGTAAAGCATTGCCAAACTCAGAGTGATCAAGTCCACACCTAATATAACAAGCATAACTTCCCATTTAATAGATCGTGTGAATACAGGAAAGCCGAAACATACATAAAATACAAAGATTACATTTGTCTGACTGCCTGCAGCCTTGAATGCATCATTCCATTATTTCATTCACTGGTCCCTGTTAATCAGGCTGTAAATCACAACTACAAGTAGTCCCTGACTTACGACCACAACTGAGTCCAAAATTTCTGTTGCTAAGCAAGACAGTTATTAAATGAGTTTTGCCCCATTTTACGACCTTTCTTGCTGCAGTTGTTAATTGAATCACTGCAATGATTAAATTAGTAACATTATTGTTAGGTGAATCTGGCTTCCCCATTGACTTTGCTTGTCAGAACGTCGCAAAAGGTGATTGCATGACCCCGGGACACTTCAACCGTCGTAAATATGAACCAACATCCAAATATGTCAAGCATCTTGGGGATGCTGTACAGCGACCATCAGTGCCGCTGTAAATTCTAAGCAAATGGTTGTAAGACAAGGACTATCTGTATATTAAATTTACTCTCCACAGATAGTCTCACTGTTAAAACTCCCAACACTGTACTGCAAGGCTACAATCCTATGGAAATGAACTTAGAAATAAGTCCCCTGATCCCAGTGAAGCATTTTTCAAAGTAATCTCATCACCCAACAGCAGTTGCAGGTGTCTACTGGGAGTGCCATTTTTACTATAATGTTTTCACACTTCTCATTTGGAAATAGCACTACAAGAAGTCTCCATAACTGTTTGCAGATGGGCTATTATATAATAATGTCTTTCATGACTTCCCTTGGCCTAACATGAAAACTGAAATGATAAAAAGAAAACAATGTTACCAGTCTAACAACAGAGCATTTGTCTGGATCTTACACGGTGTGTGTGGGTATGCCATAAGGGCTTCACAGAACGTGTCTATGCAAAACATCTAATTCTTTTATACTATGAGGACAAGTTCATGTTCTGATTCAAATGACACTATAAAACACCCAGACGATTCTTCTTTGGGATTACTGCAGATAAAGTAGTACTAGAGAGGCTGCAGATAAGGTAGTACTGGAGAGGCTGAGGAGCAGGTGCTGCAGGCTGTTGCATAGGACAATAAGATCAAAGAAGAAGAAGAAGAAAGGAATGCTAAAGGCAGCCACTCAGTTGCAGCATCCTAAAATGTTCCTTTTTGCTACACTTAGGACAGTAGTGGTTTCCCATGTACTGTACAACAGCTGTACCCAGTGCAGGGTCATATGATCACAATATGATCACAAAGTCAGTGAGGAGAGCTGAATTTGTTTAATGACCGGAGTGATTTGCTTAACTATTACACTGCTTAGCAAGTTTTGATGCCAATTATGGCTGTAAGTCAAGATCTTATTTCTATTTGTAATAACAACTGAATTAATTTATCAAGAATAGTTCAGTCATATGAATTCTTTTTTATCTTTGTCAGGTACCATTGGCCTTCTGAGGTAGACCAGACAGGAAACATGACCAGATGAGCAAATTCTACTTTATTGTATTGCTACATTAACAGAATATTGCAAGATTGAAAGTACAAATCTCCCACAGTCCCTTTTTATAAGCTAGGGAGATTCCTTTCTGAGTCTTTTTCCCTGTCCATTATGCAGCTATGGGCTATGTCCTCTTTTATTTTATCATTCCCTAGAACAGGGGTAGGCAACCTCGGCTCTTTTATGACTCATGGACTTCAACTCCCAGAATAGTCCATGAATCATAAAAGAGCCAAGGTTGCCTACCCCTGCCCTAGAAGCATCTCTTCCCCCCCCCCCACACACACAAACATATACACAGGGATCTCCTAAAGTCATTCTCACATTCCAGGTACTGTACGATACATGATGCTGCAAATGTGAGTCCAGCTAAGATATTTACTGGCTGCCGGAAAGTTTAGTAATTGAACTGCATTCAAGAACACAGCCTTTCAACTTGAGGACAATCATGGCATTTGCAAGACAAGTCTCTATTGGACAAGGAAACTAAAATGAAAGAAATAGGTCGTGTTTGAAAAATAATAAGTATGACAAAAATATCTACTGCTGTTTATTGTTTATATATTCAAGTGTGCATGCGTATGTACAGTATATCCATATTTAGATCAGATAACTTTTCAGAAATCGTGCTTACCTTGAAAACTGCTGTTGCAGTCCACACATTTGAACTCTATGGCGCTCAGACTCTAGTGTCATTTCTTGTAGTCTTTTTTCACTTTCAAATCTCAAATGTCGCTCTTCCTCCAACTCATGTACCAGCTTCTCGCGCTTAAAAAAAAAAAAGCAAGTGACAAAATTAAGCAGAGTTCAAATGTGTGAAGGTTAAGACTTCACACTTTAAGCTGCTACTGCTATTGAAAGACAATCATGTAGAAAAGTGAGTGAAGATTTTATCCTGCATTAGTCCCCTTCTACCAAGAGCCTATCAGATGGTTAGAATTTCCTTGCTTAACCTCTGCCCTGCTTAGTGAGATCATTCAAATTTACAACAATCCTGAAAAAATAACTTGGCCACTAATCCTTGCACTTGTGACTGTTCATCATCCCTGTGGCTATATAAAAAAGATTTGGGTATTTTGCAAACAGAGAGCATTTACAGCTATTACAGTATCCCATGATTGTCATTTAACTGCTTCATAGCCAACTTTCGACAAGCAGAATCCATAAAGAAGTCAGCAATAAAATTGCAAGTCACAGTTATGCTTAATGAGTACAGGTGATTTGCTTAATGATCACAGAAGTGAGTTCCTTAGTCTATTGCAGTAACATGTCTTGCTTAATGACCATATTACTTAGCAACAGACTTTCCCATTCCCAATTCTGGTGGTTACGTGAGAATTACTAGTAATTTCCTAGTCATCAAAGTTACTGGCCCTGTAAATTATTATTGCTATCACCAGTTTTTTGACTTGCAGAGCTACAATATTTTCATTTAAATGTTTTTAACTATGATAACAAAATACAGAATAAAAACAAAATACAACCTGATACCAACAATTTAAAAAGATTAAAAAGAAATAATGAGAGCAGCTGATTTTTAAAGGAAGGGAAAAATTTGAATAATTATGTTTATTTTTTAATTTCTGGCAGAAAACCCAGTAGTTGTTAAGTGTACTTCAGAAAGTAAGAACTACTTCAGAGAATGCATCCTGCCTTACTACAACTGAAGTATTTTTTTAAAAAACAAGTTTTATTAATTTTCCAATTTTACAAAACTCCAAGTGTTAAGGAAGCAACATGGTGATTGGGTAATCCATAATCCAATAACAAGCTCTTTCATACATATGTCAGGTTACAAATCAAAAATTTCCTCTCTATTTCCTTTGGTTATTGTATCACATTCACATTAATACACTGCTAGTTATGACTCAGTCGGTTAAGACATTTATCAATATATTTTAACTTATACGCCTTCATGTCCTGTTTTTAAATTTTACCTAATTTCAGTTACAGTATTCCAGTTGGCTTAATATCCATAGTATTTAGATTTCGAGTAGCCCAAAGTTCCCTTAGTTCATTACCAAATAATTGTCATATCTAAAATACACTTATTATTTACTCAAATAAAGTCTTACTTTATTTCACAAACATATTCTATTTCTCATCCTAATACCTCATCACTTACTAATAAAATAACCTTTATCATCTCAATCCAACTTCTATATTATAATTCAAAACTATTATTCTAGTAACTATTTTTTATTTCCCTTATAGGTCTAAATCCTAAATATTAAATCAGTTAATGTCTTTTAAAATCTCCTTAGCCTATTAAATGAGATTTTAAGCTCTTCTATTATAGGTTACATAAAGAAATCCCATTTTTTAAGTCTAACTCTAGCTTTCTTTTTGTTCCAAGCAGGCTTCCATAGCAGTGCCTTTAAATCCTCAAGTGGATCTCCCTTCTTACACATGTCATTTGAATCAAGGGAGACCATCCAATTATCAATTTTCCAAGGGAGCTGGCCCCTTCATAATCATTAGATTGTTGGCCTAATAATTCAAGTCTCCATATTTGGCTTAGTATATTTGTCATCAGTTCAGTCTGGTCTTCTTCTTCTTCCAGTTTCAGCTGGTTTAAGTAAAAAGTCATGTTCAACTGAAGTATTATAGTGCTATTGGAGACAGCAGGAAATCCTTTCCTGAATTTACAGTTCATAATAGACGGGTCCTGAGCATCTAAGAACGAGATACAGTCAAAAGAGAAAATATGGCAGCATACCTAATCAGCTATTTCTGCTTTGTGACCAATTCAACAAATTTATTTTTTTATGGAGAATAGCTAACTCTGTATGCAATTCAAAGCTTTATATATACACTAATGGTTAAGTAGGGATAATTAGAAATAGAAAGTTCAAAGAAAGATGCAATGAAAAAAGCACAGACAGTGATAATTACCTTATTATCTGTGCCTAATCATAAAGCAGCTGTTGAATGACAACTGAGATATTTCCAAACCGCTGAGCTGATAAACATACATGTGACAAAACTATTTATCTAAAATATAGAGGACAGAGAGAACTCTCTTTGTAATAAATATTATCACTAAACTGTCATCGTTCATTTTCCAAATTTTATTTCCTTCTAGTATCATTCGTTACAATCCTATTGACAACCATTAAGTGCACATATTCCTGTATCATAATCAATGGTGAAGTGGTTCAGGTGCTGGACTAAAAACCAGGAGATCATGAGTTCTAGTCCCACCTAGCCATGAAAGCGGACTGGGTGACTTTGGGTCAGTCACTCTTTCTCAGCCCAGCATACCTCACAGAGTTGTTGCTACAGAAAAAAAATAGGATATAGTATTATGTATGTGTCCTTGAGTGATACAAAATAAAAGTAGGATATCACTTTTAATAATAATATGCAACTGATTAAGTTGCCAGGAATGAACTCTTTTTCATTTAAATTTATTAAAGGTATTTCACCCACCTACCCTATTAAAGTGTGGGAGGTTTACAAAATCCATAAATAATAAAACACAATTAAATGCATATCATCCCATATAAACAGGAAGCCTGAACTAAAATAACAGAAATGATAAAATTATACAGACATGACAAATACATATCAGGCCCAATACCCAGAATGGCATGTGATGATTCCTCCAACCAGATGTCTTTATTCTTCTACACCTATAGACAGAATCTTGCCAGACTAAGCACTCTGTTCTCTGCATCCTCCATATATTCTGAGAACTCTTTAGGGAGGGGCTGTCTTCACTCTCTTTCTTTCACACAAACTATCTGGACTCAGATGCTTCTTATTCTTCTGGAATGCACACCCTCTCTCCTGGGAATCCAGCTAACTACATTATGTCACATCCAACAATAAACTCATTAACTCCAGACGTAGAAACAGAGCCGTGTTTAAGAGCTTTCTGGAACTCCAGGTGGAATGAAATGTGTGGATGACTCTGGGAAACAATGGGAAGTGAGCTGTTTAGGAAACAATCAGACAAGAGAGATAGGAGCTTAACAGTCAGAGAAAGAAACTTCGGAAGGACCCTTTCTAATGGGTTAAGCACTTAAAAGTTATAGCAGGAAGTTTGCATTTTCAGACTTGCAAAATTCTATTAATATAACCTTACAATAAAGTAGAATTAATTAATCTACTTATGCTTCCTGTCTGGTTCACTTGAGAGGGCTGACACCAGATGAGAGAGAGCACCATCTATATTTCAGAGAGGGGAAGATACTGTTCTAGAGGGTGGAGGTAGCAAGGTGGCAGCATTTAACAGAAGTGACTTGGAACATACCCACCTTGAGTGGGCCAAGACACACAGATATGGGGAGTCCTTCAGATAACCAGATCATGTTAAATTCATTAGTCTTTAAGGTATGACGCGGTGCTTCACTGTTCTGACTGCAATTGTCTGTTTTTAACTTTAGTAGTTTCTGTTGTTGTTGACTTTTATATATTTTAGATTATAATAATTATAATACTAATTTATTAAATGTATATGGCACCCAACTACCAGTAACTCTGGGTGGTTTACAATTGTTAAAACATTCAGAATGAAGAACCATACAAAAAAAAAAAAACCCAAATAGCACAAGACAAAACAACAACAATGGCCAAGAAATCAAACTCAGAGGGGAATGGGAGGGACAGAGGGAGGGAAGATATTTACTTATACATTTCTTATTTTAAAGTAAAAAGTGATAAGCTGTTAGAGGCGAGCAGCAATTTTGAGATTAATCTATCAAATCGCTTTGCTCTATTTAAGACTTGGAAGAGATGAACAATACAGACCAAAATGAACAAATAGTCAAAAACATCCTTGAATCTGCTACATCTATAGCATCACCAGAAAAATACTTTGTACAGTCAAAAATCTCTAATGAAACTATTGATTTAATGAAAAAAATGACAGGCCGTGAAGAATACCAGAAGTTTCACTAATAACCTGTAGTACGTTGAACTTTGCAAGACCATAAGAAAATGTATCCAAGAAGAAATGCATCATTTTAAAAACAAAGGGATTAATAGAGCAAAATGCAAGCTTATAAATACAAGAAAGAAGGTTTTTGCATTAAAACATGAAGATGGCTCTTGTGTAGACCAAGACAGGAAATGTTAGAAATAATTGGAAAATTCTATTCAGAGAGATATAAAGATCAAGATCAATCAGAAGTAACAATTGGCAAAAGAAAGCTCAGGATCGTATTGGTTGGAAACATGCAGAAGAGTCCTTCATCCTGCAGTGAAGGATGATGATGATGGTGGTGGTGGTGGTGGTGGTGGTGATATTTTATTAACTGTCTCAATGTGATGAAAGGTTCTTTCATTCAGTCAAAGAATTTTCTTTCTCCACTGAAAAATACAAGATCTTCCATTTCTCGAACAGTAGAAACCATAAGCCCATCATGAAAAGATTAGAACTTTAGAGAAGTGTGTGTGTGTGTGTGTGTGTGTGTGTGTGTGTGTGTGTGTGTGTGTATACTTATGTAACATTTGCCCCTCAAAGCTTTAACTTTTTCATGATGGACAAAGATCATGTGTATACACACACACACACACATTACCCTGTTTATGGGCTGCCATGAGTTTCAAACATATTTGATGCTTATAACCTAAATTTTATGAAATACCTACAGTACTGGATCAAATCTTAGGCATATAATTTTATTACAGAATAAAAAAGCTTTCTTGGTATTAAGCCATTATTTGCACAAGCTGTGGTATTATAAATCATACTGGAGAATACATTTATAATAGCAGTAACCTAGAGACTAAAATATGAGCCAGAAAAAGATCTCAAAGAC